AAAAAGAGGCCTCACTCACCAGTAGAAGGAAGCATGTCATTGACAAAGACAAATATGGCCTTCTCAGCACTAAGCTTAATCCTCTTCCGTACCACATAAACAAACTGACCAACGGTCAAATCAGCTGGAACAAGGTACCTTCAAACAAAAGACGGGACAAAACTTGTGTCGATCAGAAGTTATTTTGTTTGGTTTTTTCTTTTTCAACTTTTAGTTGTTTTAGATTTTTTTGGAAAGGAAACTAGTAAGAAACAACTACACAATAGTATTCTCAAGTAACTTGCATCAAATTTTATTGACACATGCTATATAAAGGATTGATTTACAAGTGATCTTACTTTTTCTTATCAATGTCTGCGATTTCACTCTTTCCTGCCTTCTCAACAATGACCTGAAACGATAAATTGTAAATAAAGTAAAAATCTCAATTTTTTTTCAGCAAACATGTATATCAGAATAAACAGTGAATCACATCTTTTCAAAAAACAAAATATAGCTAACCGGAACTCTGTCAGGATATTTCTCTCTGATGCGAGAAGATTCTGCTTGTCTTCTCTCTGCAATGATGAAAAACAAAGTATACAAACTATTCATATTTTCCACGAAACTGTATGATATTCAAATATGCTAACTAGAAATTACTCAAAGAGTTCTAAAAATTTAATTCCCATTGGATTACAATAATCCTCAAACGCTTTTCTTCCAATAAAAAACATGGGTTCAGGAAACAATTCAATGAAAAATAAACCAAATATTTTATATCAGAAATTCATCATGCATATCATTTTCAATAAATGTCAACTAAATGAATAAACATTTGCCGAATGGTTGGGCTGGAAATTATGTTCCAGTCGCCCGTCACTGATTATATTCAGAAGAACTCAACCACGAAATAAAAAAGGGAGAACCTTTAAGCACAGTAAAGAAGCTTATTGTATCCAAACACGAGAATCAAACAATAAACGGAGTTCATCAACCAATTCTTCCATCTTTATATATATATATACACACACACACACACACACACACACACACACACACACACACACTTTGAAACAAAAGAAGCAATTTTTGACTTCAATTGTCGGCAAGTTCACATATACATTTTTTTTTCTCTCTATAATGAAAACATTGCATATTCAGTTGGGAAATACATAATAAAGCCTGTTTTTACAGAAGACATTTTACTTCCTCCACATATAAATACAAATATATGATATATGAGACTTACACTGCACTTATTCAAAGTCAAAATGATAACTTGGTTAATAAATTATACATTCATGAATGAAACCAAACACAATAAAACTCTCTCATTCCCCCTATTCATTCATTGACTTTTACCGGCAAAAAACCAAACCCAATTCACCAGAAACAATTTATCATCATTCGATCATACTAAAAATACCAACATCCGATCATACTAAATTTACCAAAAATAAACAAGAAAAAAAATAACATAAAAAAGATTTGAACAGGCAAAAGCATACCCAGAGGGTGTTCTAATTTGAAAGAGCTCTTAGCCATGGCACCAATCGAATTTCTATCTCCCGCTGCAAAATTCAGACATCGAAACAACATCAGATACCAATCAACCACAGATTCTTCCTCAGAATATCAAAAAAAATAACGAGACATCAAAGAAGCAATCAATTTACACATCGGGCTTGACATATATTCTTATTTTGCGCGAAATAAGAAGCAAACACAGATTCACGCAAAAGGGTTCTCGCCAAACTCACCAAAGAATACGAAAATTACAAACAAATTCTTAGGGGCCAAAATTTATCCAAATAAACAGGGGTCCAAAATCAAGGAGTTGAGCGAAAGAGTTATATATAAATAAATAAATTTATAAGAGGCAAACCGAAAAGGGTTTCTGATTCGTACACGCAATTGAAGATGTCCTTATCGAAAGTTATTAGAAACTTTCAAGGGTGTGTAGACGGCAAACGACGTCGTGTAGACGATAAAGGGTCTTGACTTTCTAGAGTTTGGAATATAATCTGAATTTAGTCATTTACCATATTTTCACTTTTGTTACAAAAGTTACAAAAATCTGTTAAAATCATGGTTCTGAAACCGAATCGGTCATCGAACCGATGAAACTACTGATTCAATGATTCATTGGTTGAACCGGCGGTCGAACCGTTTTAATTAATATATAATTTTTAATTTATTTTATATGTATAATATATAATTATATATATTTTATTATTAATTTTATTGTATATGACATTTCTCGAAATAAGAGTTCAATAATATATACAACCGACAATGTTGAATAATGTTGTTAACTTTTTTTTTCTTATTTTAGTTTTATATTCAAAATGTTAATCTATATTTAATTTACAAAATAGAGAGAATAGAAACAATCCAATTTTCATTTTAGATCACATTTTAAATTTTTTATTATTGATTAAAAAAATAAAAATAATGTGCATAACAAACAACAATAAAATAAATTGCTTCTTTTTTTTAAAAAAAAAAATTGAGAATAGATATAACCCAATAGATAATTCACTTCAAATAACAATACATTTATTTAATGAGTACAATTTTGTTTGTTAGGCCCAATATTGGATCAAATACTAGTGGGTCTAAAAGCCCTTTATTGAATTAACTGAAAATAAAAACCGATCTCTAACATTCTCACCAAATTTAGGATTCATGGCGAGGCAGCTCGGTGGAAGCCGGATCAGAATTGGGATTGCGGAGGGACTCGATCAAATCGCCGAGCTCCTTGCGGGCCGACTCTCTCCCGAACATGAACCCGTACCTAAATAAATAAAAAAAAATAAAAATCAAGACAACATTAAAAATATAGGGGAGACTAGTGAGAGTCTGAGAAAGGCATAAGTGATCAAGAAAAATAAATACCAACAGGAAATAGCTGAGAAGATGCCCGCGGTTGCTACTGTTTGTAGGAGAGTGAAGTTCTTCTGCATTCTCTACTTTATGAATTCTAATGGTCAATCTTCTGTACTTGACTTCTTTTTTGAATGACCTTACAATTACATTTAACTCACTTCTAAAAGCCTCAGATCTTAAATCAAAGTTGACTCAAACTGGTAAAAGAAGAAAAAAACACACAGAAAAAATAAAGTATTATAAGTTTCACATTTTCCACACTGGTTTGGTTTTAAGCAGATCCAGAGTTGAACACAAATGTTAATGCTATTGAAAGATGTTTGAATAAATATGCTAGGCATAGCTAAGTCATTTATTAGTTTGTATAACTAATATGAAAAAAAAACTACCACCCCACCTATTCAAATATCCTACTGCTAAAGCTTTCACTCGACATTTAACAAGGCCCGGCCGCCGATCGTTAGCATCCACAGGGATGGTGAAGGTTGAAAACAAGAAGAGTCTCGTTGGACACACCAACTCATACATTTTAAAGAAACTATAACAATATGCATTCAGGTCTATCACGGCATCACTAAAGGCTTTTTTCAAAATTTCTTTTAAGTTCCTGAAATAATAGATACATTCACCTTATTCTATATCATACATGGCATCAAGTTTCTCGATATTTGAGACAAAGTTGAAAAATATCAAATTCCTTTTTCTCGCAATTACTTCTCAACATAAAACCAACAATGTGCTCATCGTTCTGTTTCATCTATAATTTTTGTTTTTGGCTAATGTGGTGGCTAATGATGAGATTAAAGTTAAGGGGAAAGAAAAGTAACTTCTAGGCTGTGAATCGTCACCTATTCCGACATACCCCCAAAGAGTTTTCAACACAATAACGGCGATATCTTCATTCCAAATAGGAAGCCCACAAAAGTTCAGCTGATACATATAACACACACACTGAGAAATGCAGTAACAAGCATAAACTTAGAAACTGAACATCAACAGCAGGAAATATGAGCATTAGTAGAATCAGATAAACAACCAGATACAAATGACATTAGTAGAACCAGCATAAACTTCTTTGTTTCCAATTTTCTTTTGGGAACCACCAGTACAAACAACACACATATGCACAACACACAAATAACGTTGGCGTCCGACTATTCTCCCTTTTTTCTTTTTCATCCCATATTACACATACGCAGCCCCAAACTACATGCCAACAGAGCTTCTATCTCCCTCACAAGTTAGTACGCCCGCACGGCAGAGANAATTTACCAACAGAGTTTAATTAATTCGAAACTCAATTGATCGTTAAACTAAAATCAAATTTACACAACAAACACACACAGGGATTGGAATCTATTTTTCATTACCAGACCTTGGCGGCGGTGGACGGGGAGCTCCAAGTTCTGAGTTACAGCTCGAGCGCCTGGCCGGTGGCCCCGGGCGGTGAGGATGGCCCTAGTTGGATTTTGTTCGTCTTTTTAGTAGTCTTTGCAGGAATTATCGATTCTGATTTCGCCTTTGTTCAGAAGAACCACAGAAGCCCAGTCCTAAACGCTGGCCCGTTTGTTTTTTTAATCAGATTGATGAAGTTTCTCTCTCCGATTTATTTATTTATGTCGTATCTCATCATCTTTTTTTAAAAAAAATAAAAATAAATATTTCTCTTTCGATATTGACAAAATATATAATATGACCTATTAAGTCAAGGGATTAAATTAAAATCTATATTGTAATAAAAAAATTGTGAACGATATACATTTGTTCAATTCGACGTTCTCAACCAAAATGAGCAAAAATTATTTTGAAATTGATGTCACATAAACTAGTCTATCTATGTTGCCACCAAATCACCTACCTAGACCATAACTCACCAAAATAAACTTACCTCGACCAAATCGAGCTAATCACATACCATATATATTATTTTTTTTTTATTGGAGCCTAAAAATATTTGGGCCCATCATATTTTTTTCTAATCAATATACATATTTATGTTATGAAAATATTATATTGTTATAGAGTAATATTTTGTTTAAAAACATACCTATTCATTGAAATATATGATTGTCTAAGCATTAAGGGTGGTGTATTCAATTAGAATTTCAAGTGATATTTTGAGACTTTTTAATATTTTCAAATTTAGGAAGAATTCTGTGAAATCTTAAGTTTGAAGGTGGAATTTGAGTGAGATTTTGTATAAGGTTTTTTCTTTAGAAAATCCATCAAATCTTAACAAATCCTAGTCTCAAATCTTAACACACACACATACTACCTCCTATTCTTTTTAAATGTCATTTTGGTTTTTTCAACTATTAATCAAAATAAATGTCGTTTTGGATCTTTTGTACATATTTTTCCATTATTACCCTCATTTAGTTAATAAATACACTACGTCTTTTCATATTCTCTTCATCTTTTTTTTAAAACATTTATCTCTATCTTCATTAATGAGGGTTATTATTGGCAACAAAATTATTTCTAATTAGTGTGCAACTTTCCAAAACGACACTTATTATGAATACGAGGGAGTATTATTTATGGGAGGAGCATTCCAATTGAGCACATAACTTTAGTCCTACAATTTATATTGTTTGATTGTCTTAATAAGTAAACATCAGTCAGATTGACCTGATATACATATTAAATATAAATATATATTTTTTCATAAAATGTCATAATTTATATCTATATTTTTTTTTTTAAATATGACATTTCGTATATTTATCGAAAAAAATAAGTTTGCATGACAATTAGGCATGTCTAATTGCAGCTCTACAGTTAATTAATTCTAGTACTCAATAATTAGAGAAGACGATAGATTTGAGTTAATTTGCACACCACCAATTTATATAATTTTCAGTTTAAACATGTCCTTTTTTTTTTAATAGAAGTAAATAACATCAATTCATATGAAAGTTCATATACTACAACACACTCTACAGGACATAATTTCCAATTAATAAAAATCACGGAGTAATTAAAATTAGGAAAAATAATAATGAGGAGTTAATGAATAACACCATAAATGGTGAGTACTTGGTAGGCCTGACCCATTACAACAACCAAGATGCCAAAAAAATGAGCTGCAGAAAACATGCATTGTGTTGAATGCACAGAAGACCTGCAGAAGAAAAATTAAGAGAGGTGGTCCATAATACATAACGGCCTCTTTGGGCATCTTCTTGTATTTATTTATCATTTGTTGATTTGTTCTACTTCACATGTTCTAGCACTCCCATCTATCTAATATTAAGGTCCCCAAAGGACTGGTTAATTTTATGCAATTATGGAGCAATCAATTCAATTTAAAGAAAATGGGTAGATTTTAAGGACCATCCACATATATATATAGCATTAATAAGAAGATAAAGNAAAAAAAAAAAAGGAATCTTTTCTTTTACATTTCTTTTCTAACATGGTTTGGCTATTAGGTGATATTAGATACCTCAGACATGAACTTCGAGTAATCAAATGTGAAGTGGATTTTGAAAATAAAAAATACAAAAAATTCTTTTTGAAAAATATGGAAATTGAACACAAAGTTGCTATCATAAATTTTACTATGAGACAAACATATACAAATGTTTTTACTTTTCATTGGCTTGTATGTTACTCCCTTAGAGGCTTCAATTACTATAATTGGCTTGTATGTTACACCCTTGGACAACTTAATTATTTTGTTGGAGTCTCATGCATGTCTCTATGTATACGTCACTTGACTTGAATGCTTTTTCTGTTGGATTTTAGACGTACGAATCAATCGCATGCGCAACAGAATTTTTAAAATTTTCTTACCAACAACGAAGATCCGGCTATAACTATTCGATATGATCCTAGGTCGCGTGAATAATTAACAAAAACTTACAGTTTAAGCTTTGTCTTCAACTATGGTATCCACGCAATCTAGATCCCGGTGCACGTTCCAACGCAATGAATCCTTTCCGGTAAAGACGCTAGGAATCCTCAATCAGAAAGCGAGAGAGTGTTTCTGTGTTTTACGACGTATTTCTTTTCTCTCATCTAATGATCGTCAAAAGCTACCAAGAGATAATAACCTATTTATAATTAGGTCAAACCTAATTATATGGACCGTAGGAGATCCTATGGCCCAATAGGTAATTGGACTTTACTCCAATAACAATTTAATTAAGTATAAATCTAATTTAACTTAATTAAATATTTTCTATCAAATAGAAAATAATCTCATTACTCATAAATAAATATTCCAATCTAATTGAATATTTAACACTCTCGATTCACTCTTAGCCGGAAACTAGATTGCATATTGTGTGACCCTATAGGCCTTCATATATTGACATAAATCTAATTTATGATCCTTACGAAACTCCTAGACTGCGTCGAAAGACGAACTCAAAATATGAAGTACGTTTACATAGACAAAGCAAACAAACATTTAGTGTAGAATTCAATAGTGATACGGTCCCTTCATTCACGAACCACTCGATTAAGTTTAGGACTTGAATGTGTGTCTATCCAAACAGCTTAATCAATTTATCTCATCTCACTGGTTGATTTTAATTAATTATATTTGAACACCATTTCAAATATAATCACGTGCATTGGCCAATTACTTTATCAACCCAGTATAGAGAAAACGAGTGTTCTCTCGAAACTATATTCGAGGAATGAATCCTATCTTGGCTCAACTACCAATTCCATGTATATCGTGACCAACCCAACACAAGCCCGTATCTACCCATAAGGGCGTAAGCTTTGGACTAGGTCTAAGTAAATCACTCTATACATGAATTGCGTATTGACCTCAAGTCAAAGGACTATTACACCATTCCACACACCGATACTCCCATAGACACATAAACAAATAGTTTATCGGTAGGGTATACCAATACTCTCCAAAGTATTCATGTGTCCATCACGAATAACAGTTATTCATAGCAGTGAGATATACTATATTCTCCAAGAATGTGATGCAGACCACGTGTCAATCTATCGCGTATCATTAATATCTCTTTCTTAATGATCATCGATTGAGGCGATTTGAGAGTTATACTTTATCAATTAACATCTCACTCTGTTAATGACAGTATTAACTCAAGGGAACAATTAATTAATAAATTACAAACAACCAAACAATTATTTAATTAATTGCAATACCGTAATTATAATCCAATATAATTATTAATGTGATCATATATATATGTCCTCAAAAAGATTGTCTCTAGGACACATATACCAACATTTTCTTGATTTAGTTTGTGAATAGTGGGGAAAAGGGCTTAGAGGTTGGACAAGAAGGGTGGTGGGAATGTTAAATATGTTTTTCATGTTGTACACAAAAAAACAAAAACCTTATATTACAATGTTTGGTGCATTAGTTACAACTACAAACCCACATGAAGAGAAGGACACTTTGTGGGGGCCACACAAAATTATTTTCCTTCTCTTGACTATTACACCCCCTCAAGAAAAGATTTTTTTTTTTTTTAAAAAAAAAAAAAGCAAAAATTATGTTGGCTGTTTTAGTTGTATTCGGTTTGTCATGTAACTACGTAAGAAATACATGGTTAGTAAGTACAAAACCGTATACATGTAATCAAGCATAAATGATTAAAAAATTAGAACTGTGCAATAACTCAGAACTGAAAGAGTCAGCTTCTTTCTCTGTGCTACTGTTATTATTTTTCCTATTTCTTTTCTTTATTCCTGAATCTTAACATTTTTTGTGTATGATCTACTAACAACACCAGTATTAATTAACTATTATTGATTAAAAAATATGTTATCTCAATGTTATATTTTTTTAACAAATGTGATATTTGTATACACAGGTGACCGTACGTGAGGGCTTCCTTTGACTTAACGAGAAGCCGACGAAGGGCTACGAAGCCATTTGCAATATATTTTTTTCATTGTTCTTTTTAAATATATATATATATATATAAAATTACCAAAATGCTCTAAAAATCAACTTTTTTAAGTCAAAACCACTTTTATATCCAGTTTAAAGGACATTTGACAAACTCATATAGTTCAGGTAGTGGTTGTTAAAAATAAAGTTCATATGGTGATGTCCAAAAATTGTTAACGGTGACTTGTGCGGAATTTCTGAATTTCAATGTTGGAATTGGAATGACTTATTTTATGTAAATTATTGTATCAAATGGCCTAACCTTTAAACGAGTCTACTTGTTATGCTTGTATAACAACAATCCAAATAAATATTATAAATATCATATATTTAATTATATTATTTTTAAATTATTACGTTTTATTTTGCAAGCATAAAATTATCGG